TGCTTTACCTTGGTCTTAACCATCCAGTAGAAAAGTATAAAAATGAAATATAAGAAGCAAAGCCATGCTGTTATGTTGAGCTTTGGGGACTTGGGTCAACAATTTCTGACATTGCCAGTGAAGCGAAGACCCAATACTATTATGGGCTACTGGATTCTTTTAGAATATTTTGCTGAGTTTACACACCTATAATACTCAAATAATGGAACTTAACAAAAAAAGGGTATACAGATGAATGTCCATTTTGTGTCTGTGTATTCAAAGTGGTTAGGATAGATATATAGTTACGTTCTCTTAATGAATAGAATGATTTGTTCTAATGGTTTTTGTAAATAGGAAATGAAGTCCGCATCTTGTACAGCAATTAACCACTACGAAGATTGTAAAAAAAAAAAAAGATTTATTTGCTAGAAACTATACTGCTATAAAGAGATGTTTTTTATTATAAAAATATTACAATAAAATATTTTTAGCAAAAAAATAAAATAAAAACGGAAGAATGTGCAAGTAACAAAACTATATAAAAACTGCCAACACCCCCTAAGACTTTTTCATAAGACAGAGGTCATCTTCTATTGTTTTCCAGTACTATTAGATACTTTTTGCTTAGGTACACCTTTATTTGTATGACTGAAGAGAAAATTTTGTAATTTTCTAAAGTAAGCAACTGGATATTATTTTATAAACACAATACTTTATGAAAATATACTACTATAGTTACATATCAAATGGAGCTATTAATAGTAAAATTTTACTCAAGTGAAACAATTTTATCAACATGCCTGAAGGTTGCTCATTTGGTACATGATATATAAAACTTTATACTTTGCTGTTTCAAAGATTTAAATTTTTTTTCCTTTCTTGCAGTTGTTATAAGTTTTTTTTTTTCAAAGAACAACCTAAAATACACGATTACTTGGCTGTGTACAAGAGAAAAATGAATGTGAGCAACAGCTGGGATAATGTTTTTGGTAGCATGAGCCTCATCCCTACCATTTCAGTAAACAGGCTACAACTTGAAACCTTTCAATTTCAATACTCACCCTATTGTTCCTTGATGTATCAGAAAACTTTTTAAGAAAATATAATCTTGCGTCCTCTAAGATATTTATTTCTCGAAATGTTATAGTTAATTTCTTTAAATATATAAGAAAAATGTGTATATTATGAATTTTAGTCATTGTAAAGTATCTTCCAAGTATTATTTTCTATTTTGTTTTCATTAAGAGCAATGTATAAACACATTATACAGAAAGCTGTCAGTCCTTTCATTTAGGTCCTTTACATACTGCAGTTCCATTAGTATCAGCTCTGAAAAGTCCAGGCACAGTGGGACATGGGTATCACCACTACAAATTTGGAAGGATAAGGCAGGAGGATTACAAATTTGAGCCCACACTGGACTGGAAAATTTAGCAATGCACAATGAACTTGTCACAAATTTAAAGATTAGGGATGTAGTTCAGTGCAGAGGCTCTGTATTCCAACATCCAGAGGAAAGGAAGGAACTGAAGTTCAGTTTATACCAGACAGCTTATACAGTTTTATTTGCAGTGTGCCCCTAGTACCTTGCCAAATACCAGATAGAGGGTACCTGGTACTTATTATAAGTATGAAGTAAAGTTGAGGTTGTAGACTAGACTCAAAGAGTCTTAAAGTTACTTAAAAGTTACTGAGTTACAAAGAAGAGCAAGATATATGTGCTGGAGGAAAATAGTTAAGGAAGAATGAAGTGAAAACAATCCAGATAAAAAAGTTACCAGGATCTAAAAGTAACTCAGAAGTAGCAAGGATGAAAAAAAGCAAGAGCCTTCCTTCATTTCTATGAAAAAGAGGAAAAAAATGTAAAATTACAACAGGACATAAGGAGATTTAAGTTTAATGGGTATTCTTGAATTACTTTTTACAATGTTATAATACTAACACTTGCTATTCAGGGGCTGTTTATCTAAAGTAAAGCCCTGTGTATTTAAATGAAGCAGTTTATTTTATTTAATCCTTAAAATTTCTGTCAAGCTTAGGGAAGTTGTGTGTGTGAAAGTTAACCACAGCAATACAGCTACATAGTAGAACTGGGATTCAAATCTAGGACTGTCTCTAAAACTGTACTATTGATAGTCTATATTGAGCTCATCTACTGTGTCATGTAAGTTGGTATTCAAGGGAAAAGGATACATACATATACTCTGAATAACTGTTTCTTCCTTCACGTGCCACACTATAAATTGTCCCAAGAGTCAGGTTCTTTTATAGAGCTAGTAGCATCACTGCAGAATAGAGAATACTGACACTGCTGTAGAGGTCACAGTTTGGTGTGAATTCTATAGGCCAGTAATGACAAATCCTTTATTAGAGTTTTCAATGATAACAAACAGCTCACTTCAGTAGGTATCACATGTCATAGGTTCACCAACAATGCATAGGTAAATACCTGAAATTTGACCCCATACTAGCTATGAGACCTTTGGATAACTTATTCCATCTCTCTCAACTTCTTGTTTTGTCTACGCCTCACTGATAAAGCACAAGGACATAATATAATAGCACCTCACAGCTACCAGGTACACTGGGATAATGTACATTCTGCTTAGAAGCATTTTGTCACAATTAATAACAGTTTATTAATACTGCCCTCTTTTAATTCCTTCAAAACAGTATAGTAAAGTCACTATCCCTTCTATGTCAAATTCCTAATTCCTTTCTCTTCTTCTTCCTTATATTTTTTCTAGACTGATAAGACCTGCAAACATTTACTATTCCCACTCTATCCGGATTTACAACTCCCACAAAAACTTTTGAGTTCTGTCCAGCCTGACTGTACACTTTGTTTCATGTTTACACACTGCTCTCAAAACAAAAAAGTAAAAGATATAGCCTTTGATTTGCATATCATATTAACACAACCCTTTATTCAGACATCAAACATAAATATAACCTTTTTACATTTATCAAAGTTGTACGTTTACTATAAATTTTAATTTCTTGAAAAACAGAAGTTCCAAACTACACAGATCTTAAACAAGGAATATACAGGCACTACTATATGAGGTAATGAAACCAAAAAAATGAGATCATAATGAATCAATTTGAAACTCAAACTAAAGTTTTACTTACTCAAATTCTGTAGCATAGTATTTAAGAAAGCCCAGCAGGAGGTCCCCAAGACTGGATTCATTCTTTGAGAGGTAAGGAGGAATATTACATGGAGCCTGATGTACAAGGTGCAGCTGGATAGCAAGACTGAAAGATTCCTGTTTAAAAGAAAAACCCTAAAGTCATTTCAAACACACGACAAAAACTTTGTAAATCCTGATCTAGAACTACTGAAGAAAGGAGAGATTTTCTTTGTGTTGGCAATTTGGAAATTTGAAGATTTTCTTTTTTTTCTTTTCTGTACTTTAGGGAAGGGCGTTCAGGGTGTTCAGGATCTTACTACTAGATTGGACTCGTAGTGATTCTCCAGTTTACAGCCTCCAAGTGCTGGGATTACAGGCATGCACCACCACACCCAGTCTTAATTGCCCTGTGGATGGGGCCGGCAAGGCTGGCCCCTGCACAGGTAAGGCAGGCCCCTGCGCCTGCTGGCAGGCGCTTTAATCCGTTAAGCTATTTTGCCAGCCCTGAAGATTTACTTTCAATAAAGATTTTAATAATAATTTGAGTAAACCCAAAGGTACCTGAAAAAAGATATTCTAATCCTTGACTTGGGTATATTACTTAAGCTAAATCCTTATGATAGGAAAATATTTCTAACTTATAAATAAAATATTATACACACTATGACTCCATGTAATGCAGGAGTATTCTCACAAGAGCCTCTTTTCACTTTCCCCATAGGAGTAGGTTTACTTCATGTGATAAGGCAAAACCAAGCACAAAGTAACAGCTTTGCCTACCTAGCATTTAATTTTCTTTCAAAGGCCACAAAAGTAATTTCAATTATGTGAAATGTACTTATACTGATGTTAAGGTTTTTAAAATTTTGTTTTATTCTGTATTTCAGAGGGAAAAAAAGACAATCAACATGAATTGAAAAAAGAGAGGCAAGGAAAAGATAGTACACACATATAAAAAAGCAGTATTCAACAAACTTTTACAACAATAATAAGGAAGGGTATTAAATGCTCACAATCCAGGCCTAAATGTGACATTTATTAGAAAAAAATATTAATGGGTACTTGTCTTTTGGCTTACAGCATAACACAAATTTTTAAATCTGATCCTCCCTCTATTAGCAGCCAGTACTAGACCTGAAATATACTAAATGAATACTGAGATGTTTAATATATATAGTCATAAATTTAAAAAGTAATCCTTTTTTTCTTCTTTCCCATTTTCTTTCATTCCTTCCTTTTTCTGGAACTTGGGATCACACATGCTAGGCAAGTACTTTACCACTAGAACTGGGCTACAATTCCAGTCCTGTTTTGCTTTGTTTTCTTGTAGTAGGGCCTCAAAAACTAAGATGTCTTGAACTTGTGCTCTTCCCGCCCCAGTTTCCTGAGTACCTAAGATTATAGACATGAGCCACTGTACCTAGTAGAAAACAAGGTACAGTGATATCAAGAATGGTTTTCTGTATTTCACCACTGCCATCAGAATAGAAATTGTTTTTCTCAAAAACAATTGGTTTAAAAAAAAAGCAACTGTTTAAAGCAACTAAATGACAACTAGAGGTAAGGTGGTCACAGAAAAACCTTAACACACAACAGCTATGTAACACAAAAACCGGGGGCCTGCCCCTTAGCTCAGTTCTTTAAGTGGCTGCTTCAACAAAGCAGTCAGGCTCAGGTTGCTGTGGTTCGATCCCCACAACTCAAACCAGCCAAACCTGCCCTGAAGGCATTAGGAGCCAAAAAAAAAAATCCTTCTGTAACACAAAAACCTTGGATGTACAGGTACTATTTCAATAGGTAACATCTAAATATCAAGTTAAAATAAAAAGTAAAGCATCTTAACCAAATGTAGCATATGAAAGTAGTGAATCACTGAATACTAGTTTTCAAAAAGCAACAATAAAACAAGAGCAAAACAATAAAAATTCATTCCCTAGTTATATTACCTGTAATTCTACAAATAATGTTCATGTATCAGGAAGTGATTCCCTTTGTCAGAAGAAAAACTCTACTCCAACAATTGATAAAGTTTAAATTCCTGAACATAGAGACCTACCTTTACATGTCTAAGAGCTGCTGTTATTCCATCATAAAATTCAAGTGGAAATTAAGATAGGAGGTGAGGAACTAGAAAACCACCTCAATTTACAATCAAGAGTAAAAGCAGAAGAAAAAACACTACCTTTATGCCACTTTGTCTATTGTTATGTATAAAACTGGACTTACAGTACATTAATTAAAACTAAAAACTGTAAATGTTATTTTCTGGCCAGCTAAATAAAAGGTACAATGGAGATCAAAAGGTAAGAAAGGTGATAGGCACAATCACTGTGTCAATTAAAAATTTAGTAAGACAGAAAAAGTGGATCCCTATTTAACAGCTTCTGATCTGAAGGCTTCTTGTTCAATAATTTAAAGAAAATATCAGCAATGCAAAACAAACTCTGAAGAGTTGTGAGACCACTCTCTCAAAATGCAGTACAACCCTGGACAAACAACCTGATCAGTCTTCACTTAGCTCTACTCTTCTCTTTTTTAAAAAAAATTATTTAATTTTATTGAGAAAGAAATAGCAATGACACAGTTTCAAAACACATTAGGACAGTTACAATAATTAATACATTGCATATTGTTGTCTTCGTTATTTATAGTACAAGATGCAGACATGATATCTTGTCTTTTCATAGTCATTTACAAAACAGCCATGTCATGCTTAATGAGGAAATACTGAAGGGGATATGCAAATGTAAAAAAAAATTAGAGCTACAAGGAAATAAGAATTCTATTAAGAAATTTTCAATTTTTGGTAATTGTCCATATTACTGAAAGATACTCTGCTTTAAGAAAGATGTCAACAAAAAATGTAAAAGAGAACACACCTCTGCAGTTATGTGTCTGAGAAAATAACAAACATTATTTCAGACAGGATAAAGAGGTGCCAAACTTAAGCTAATACATTAAAAAGTACTAGAAGAGCAATACAAAATGAAAAGGGGAAAAATAGCCTTAACCTTAAGTCCAAGTCAGTGAAAAAGCAATTCAACTGATGACATCTACTCTTTATGAAATAAACATTTCAGATTACCAATATTTATTGCCATTTTATTGTAAATAAAATGAGGATTTGCTACACTTCTAGAATCATTTTTGAGATACAAATCATAAAATGTGTAATAACCTACTGATTCCTGGAACTATTTTCCAAACAGTATTGAAAATGCTGACATTTTTAATAGGTAATCTTCCACTTCAATATGCCAAGTTAAGACACACTTAAAGGCAACTTCCCAAAAAAACCTGAAGTCTCTTTATTTTTATCCATACAAGTGCCAACCAAAAACGCAAAAATATTTTCTGCTAGATCCTATCATTTTTCTGAGGTTATTACACAATACCTTATTTTATCTTCAAGGCTTGACATTTAGAGAACTAAGCACTTTCAAGAAGACTGGCTCTATCATTTATATTACTTTTTTTTTAAGTCAATGAAAAGTAGGAATGCTCAGAATTCCAATCACATAGCTTTTAGAGAAAATACATTTTAATCCCTCTCTTTCACACTCAATGTCTTAAGTGAACTGAAATATATAAAAAGGCTCAAGTCAACAACTTCTGACATTGCCAGTTCTGCAGATAATACACTACTATTATGGACTACTGGACTATATTGGATTATTTTGCTGAATTAACGCACCTACAATATTTGAATGGCAACTGAATACTGAACCCATCTCTGACAAAACTAAACAAAAAAGGAGGATATGAATGAAGGGCCATTTTGTAGTGGAAAAAAAGAATACACACACACACACACAAAAAAAAAAAAAATAGGATAGATATACAGCTACTTTCTCTTAGTTCAATGAGATCTGTACTAATACTGTTTAGACTAGATATCACGTCGGGGCTGGGGAGATGGCTCAGTGGAGTAAGTGCTTCCCTGGCAAGCACAAGGGCCTGAGTTCAACCCCCGGTTCCTCAAAAAAAGGTATCATGTCTGCATCTTGTACTATGAATAACTACTATAAAGACAACAATATGCAATATATTTATTGTAACTGTCCTACTAACCTGTTTTGAAACTGTCTCACTGCTATTTCTTTCTCAATAAAACTAATAAAAAAAATTTTAAGTATTTTTAAATATTATATCCAGGGCTAGGATGCAGGTCAGTCAGTGGTATAGTGCTTGCCTGGCATGAATAATTCCCCGAGTTAGATCCCCACTAATAAATACATGTAAATATTTTCTGATATGAAATACGTAATTTTATTTTCCTGTGTATATATTTTAAATCAGGGACCAACTCAGGGTCTTTACACTGAGCTACATTGCAAGCCCTTTTAAATTCTTTTTTTTTTTAGACAGGGTCTTACTAAATTGCTCAAGCTGGGCTTGAACTTGCAATCTCCTTGCCTCAGCCTCCTAGAGTGCCAGACTTACAGAAGTATGCCTCCAGGCTCACTCAAAATTTGTCCTTTGGAAAGTACCAAAGAAAAGTTTGGTAAAGTTTTAAGTCATTCTCAAATGTAATTATAATAAGCTAAAATTTTGCCCTGATTTTCTTAAAGTATCCAAATAAGAATAACAAGAATACAAACAAAATTTAAGAAACAAGAGAAATTAGTTGAAATATTGTTAGGGAAGATTACTATAATCTGTCCTTTCCTGAGAAACAGTATAATGAAAAAATACCACTTTTTAATCTATTGCTTATGACAATGGCACTTGGATCAATCACACTATCATTTCATTTTTCATTTGTTTTTCTGAGACAGGGTCTCCCTATGCAGTTTAAGCTGACCTTGAGCTCACTTTGTAGCTCATGCTCGTCTCAAACTCACAATAATCCTCTTGCTTCTGCCTCTTGAGTGGTAGGATTAGAGGCATACACCAACACACCCAGTTAATCATACTATCTTTATGTAATTTTAGTTTCTATATATCTTAGATTGTAAGATATACAGAAACAGATAATATCTTACAGGTTCATTTGTTCAGAATTAAAGAAACTGTGTATGAAATTTTGGGTAGTAAATAAATGATAGTTTTTTGTTTGTTTGTTTTTGAGGGCCAGGGATTGAACTCAGGCCCTTGTGCTTGCCAGGGAAGCGCTTATTCCACTGAGCCATCTCCCCATCCCTAAACAGACTAATTTGCTTGTCTCATTAGATGGACCACTGAAAAAGTGCTCTGTTGATCGATCAGCTTACAGGCTTCATGTAAAACAGAAACATCTTGTATTAAAATTAGCGGTAATTACCCATATAAGCATCAATTTTGTAATAAAAATGGCCTGATTTAAGTATTTAAGACGGCGATGTAAGGCTAGACACTGTGGCACAGTGTCTAGCTACCGGGATTATTGTAAATTGGGGACAACTTGGGCTACGAAGTGAGTTCAAGGCCAGGCTGAATTTCATATGTAATCATACCTGAATTCAAATTAAGACATTCCTAACTTGGCAGGTGTTAACATTTTCAAGGCTCTGAGATGAAGACAACAATGAATTTATAGGTAAAGAAATATAGTTATTAGCATGCTAGGGTGAAAGTTTTGGGCCAGCAGTAGTGGGTAAGAACAGGACTCTCACAAAGGGAAAGCTTTATAATGAGGAAAATGGAATGCAGGAACACCTATGGGGCCATCCAAACTAGAATACAGTAATAACAAGGGACATTTTGTCACAAAGTAGCACTTATGCTCCCAAGCACAGCTCACTCAACTGGTACTGTCCTCAGATCTTATATTAGTAAAAAGGATTTCACATAGCACAGGGTTTCAAGTAAGATTTTTGCAGTTCCATTTTGCAATAAAAAATAAAAGGTTCTTTAAGTGTAAGTTTTAACTAATTTTTGTATGACAAAAAGCAGCTCTTGTGATACTGAACTCTAGGTCTTAAAAATAAGACAGGATAAATATAATAAATATTTAATTATTATCTCTAATCTTTCCGTATGAGATAATAAGAATGCTTATAGAACAAGACAAAAATTCAATAAAGCCAAAAAGTTATTTTTATATCTGCACTTGATGCTTTCCTTTGTCATAACTTTTAAGACTGATCCCTAAGTATCTGGAAGGAATAGAACTCATGACTTTGAGCTTGCCAGGCAGGTACTGTGCTGCTGAGCTACATCCCCAGCCCTGGAAGCTCATTCTCCCAGTTCTTCATAATAACAGAAATTAGTTTTTAAGAGGAGAAAGACTCCAGAAAGTTCTTGACATAGATTCTTCTGGTAGATGACCAACCAGGAACTAGGAGAGCTCTTACTAAAGCAAGTCTGTTACAGTAAGCCTTGCATGTGCACACTGCAATAACTGATATCCAAAAACAACATTAAGGAGCTGGAGAGATAGCTCAGTGGCATAAGTGCCTGCCTGGCAAGCACAAGGTCCCAAGTCCAATTCCTAGTACCAAAAAAATTTTTTTTAAATGGAAACTCAGAAACAATATCAATTCTTCTCAACCACCAGGGATTACATTTAACTAATGCTGCATATTAAGTGTATTTATTTTGTAGGATATAGGATAAGAGCCTGAAAAATTGATCATACAAGTACAATAGTATAGTCTCCTTTCCAACAGGACCATTTAATAAGTTTAGAAAACAGCTCTTCTTGTATCTATGAAACGTATACATTTGGCATGAACATGTACATCTGTACATGCAAAACATGAAAATGAACAAAACAGGCAAAACTTTTTTTTGTTGTCATGTATATCTAAAGTGTGCCAATAAAATTATCTATTTTTCTTTGTGTATGTGTGTTTTTTGTTTTTTTTGTGTGTGTGTGTGGTTTCAGAAGGTTGGTCAAACATTCCAAAAAAACAGGTGAAATATTATTTCCAAAGAAAAACAGGAACAAGGGTAACAATGGAGAAAAACAGATGGGCAGATTGCAAAAAACAAGTAAACAGAATGCTGGAGGAAAACCACAAGAAAAATAGAAAAGAAACTATATATTATGTAATGTAACAGGCAAACTCAAAGGGAATGTATAATTATTTTCTAATAGACATAATTAATTTTTGTAATGTTTCCAGTTAATCTCAGGATTCTTTATACTACATAGACAAGAATGTTACCTCTCTCAGTGTATTACTTGGCAAGAAAAAATGAAAGCTCAATTATTCAACTTCTTAATTTTCTTCTTGCCTTTGAAAGTATAAATATACTAGGTTGAAAACTTTAGTAACAAAAAAAGTGCTGTAACACTCGAGTAAGGTCAAATGTTCCTGGACTACGTAATGAGTATCATGCAAAACAATTCTACCATTTACATAACAAACTAGATTTGCCAGCAAATCACCAAATAAGGTACCAGAGTTTTCCAAAAGTGTACAAAACATGTAAATATTCTCAACAGCCAATGCACAAGCTCTACAGAAAATGTTATCATTTTGGTAACTAGCCTTATTATTTTAAGCCCACACTGGTACTGCATTTAATAATCCTACATATACTTGACACAATATGTATTATAATAATTTACAAGAAACACTTACTGGGTAAATTTTTTGGAGGGATGGAAGGATGGGTTCAGGTAGGGCTATAAAAAGAAAAAGTATAAAGCTCCCATGAGTCACATGATTTATGTTACAATACAATAATCTGTCAGCTACACCCCAGGTAACAGGGTTTACATCAAAATTCAAGATTTTTGCACATTTAATGAAAACTGTTTCCTGAAAATGTTAACAGGATACCAATAAAGGACATAAGTAATCTGATTGAACATTAGGCACATGTACATAAAATAAGACAAAGATTAGGATACCAATAAAGGACATAAGTAATCTGATCTAACATTAGGCACACGTACATAAAATAAGACAAAGATTATCTACAGACACTAATTCATAGAATGAATGAATATCTGGTGTCATGAAAACTAAGTGAAAGGGGCTGGTGAGATGGCTCAGTGGTCTAAAGCACCCACTTAGAACAAGCTAAGCTAAGCAAACCACAGGGACCGCGGTTCAATCCCCAGCACCACATGCCAGCCAGCCTCGCCCCCTGGTGGGCTGAGCTGGCCACACACAAAATAAACAAATAAAAAAATAAAAAAACTGAGTGAAAGACTTGATGCTGACTTGGCTGAAGACAATTTGCAAGGAAGTCTAGGGTCTGATTTGTCTTGGGTTGATATTTCTACAGTTTAGGGTATTGTTTTCTGAAGATTACGCTAATAGAGAAAAATGTTTCAGCCTACATAGTACTTATTTTTTTCATTCATGAATGTTTCCTGACTGTCCACTAAATAAATGGTGGGTGTACTGCTATAGCATCTGGGAATATAGCAGTGAGCAAAGCAGAAAAAATAGATAATTTATTGGCACACTTTAGACATACTTAACAACATTCACAGAATTTGTACCGGTATATGTATCTTGATACTCTTTTCCCCATTCTCTTCTCCTCCCTTTAAGCCCTATTCCCTTCCTTATCTACTAAAGCTTTGTTCCCATTTTTTCCTTCCATTGATTTTTTTTATCTCTTCCTTCCTTTCCTTTGCCCCCTCCCATCCAAATATTTCCTTCCTAATTCACAGTATCTATTTATACATTTTGGTCCTTATTTATACTTAAGTTTCTCATACCAGAATAACATTTTTTTCCTTCTTTCCACTTTATCATATTTTCAAGATTTCCTGTGTGTATGTACAACTTACTGAAAATAAGTTTTAAATGTAAAATAATTTCATTTTAACATAAGGCTTTATTATTTTAAATACAACAATTCTGAAATAAAATGGCAAAACTATGTATGTGACCAGAATTTTACCTATTAAAATACTGAGACTGAATAATGGAGAAATAATTTTGTTCAGTCATTCACTGCAAATATTTCTCATGCTAAGGTAGTTGTAATGGGTTAACTGGATTTTGTGCTATAACTATGGAAAACTACTAGAAGGAATCTTGGGCTTCGTTATCTACTCTGAGGAATGTGTGCTCTTGTCCTAACTGTATCTCTGCTCAGCAACGAGGGTCTTACCCATGTTTAGCAATAAGTGACTAGTCTTGTCAAGGCAGCTAGCTAAAGTAAACTCCCTCCCTAACAAGTTTCCTGTAAACAGTCAGTTTAAGAAGTTATTTTGTAAAAACAGCTTGCTCAACAGGCCCCCCACACAAGGCAAGATTCCCTTAGTTATAAACAGTTTGCAACTGTGTCAACAAAAGGTGGTTTACTTGCTATAAAAGACTGGGCTTAATTCTGTTTCGCTGCTGGTTGGCACTTCCTGCATGGAGTTCGCTGGCCAGCCACTGGACAGGCTAATAAAGGCTCACTAAATTCTCATCCCTTCTGGTCTCAGTCTCTACCTTAAATATGAACCTGGTACATTAGGGGGCTCATCTGGGTTCCCATGTATACTGAGACTAAAGAGCTGAGACTTTTTTGAGTGCTCATACTCTTCAGGGGACTGAGAAGACATTCCTCAGGCCCAAGGAGATTTTATTGGCCTCAGAAATCTAAAAATCCTGGACTATTTCAGAGCAGAGCTGTCAGGATTCTCACCAGTAAGACTGCTCAGGTGGAGCCAGGGAGATGGCTCAGTGGATTAAGCACTTCCCTGGCAAGAGCAAGGGCCTAAATTCAATCCCCAGTTCTGAAAAAAAAAAAAAAAACACTGTTCAGGTTCAGTTTGGGGCACCCCTCAGGTGGAGGAGTTGGATGCAACATTATCCCCAAGACTCGATTCCAGACCATGATGGTGGCTGACAGTCCTTGGTATCTCAGTTTTCTGGTATTTCAGCTTTTACTTGTTTCGTGTTTCTTTGTCCTTGTCACTATGGGTCAGTCTAAATCATTTTCAGGATTTCAGAGAAGACTCAGGATCTCCATGGGCAAGACCCTCTTGCAAAAGGCCTGCCCAGCCTCTGTGTCTGTGAGTGGTTTTCTGGTGCCACAAGCTAATTTCAGCTAACTACCCCAAAGAGGCTGAAGGAACAGAATGCCAGAGTGGAAAGAAATAACAAAACTTATTGCAACCTAGGTAAGATTTGATTGGCTTTTGTTTCTCTCGAGGTTAGTGTTGGTGAGCCCTAACTTCCAGACATGGAAGTTGTGTCAATCTATCTCAGATGAGTATTTCTGAGATACTATTGACATGTTGTTTCTTTCACTGAGAGAGTCTGTTCTCTCACAGACAAATATTCCTAGATTTGTTTTCCTTTGGGCTGGAGGCCCCGTGAGGTTTGTTTTCCACATTTGTTTTGAATTTGTTGCAGGGGGGATCCTGTGTTGTCTTACCAGGAAATCTATTGGAATGTTGGCGCTTACGTTGCATTTCTTTTGGTTTGAAATCCAGCTGAGGGCCCAAGTTCAATCCCCAGTTCCGCCAAAAGAAAAAAAAAAAAAGAAATCCAGCAGAGAAGGGGCTGGGAAGATACCTCAGTAGAATAAGCACTTGCCTGGCAAGCGCAAGGGCCTGAGTTCAATCCCTAGTTCCATTTAAAAAAAAAAAAAAAAATGAAATCCAGCCAGGAGTTCAAATTAGTAAACAGGTCGGAGAAAAGAAAAGGAAACCAAATTCTACCCCAGGATATTGTGGTAGATTTGTTTGTCTGAATTGTTTGTTTTCTGTCCCCAATGAGCCTGCGTCCCCAGCTGCACTTCCACTGGGACATAACCACTGAGTCCATAGCTTGGGCTGAGGCAGTGGTATTAGCTCTGTTCTTTCCATTCTTGCATCTTCTGACAGTCTTCCTGGAAATGCAGAAGGGCGCAGACCTAGCTCAGTTGCCCTATTACATTGCTGTGTCAAATTATACTAGTCTTGGGCTTGTGTGTGTAGATCGAGAGGGGACACTGCTGGGACCTTTGCTATGGCCAGAACAGTACAGAGCCAACCAATTGCCCTGAGCTGCGTGATTTGGAACATTGATGAGTCCCAAGGTAAATAATGGATAGTGTTTTTGGGATTTCTGTTATCTCATCCTGGGTGCTGTGGCATCCAGGGGAACTTCAGCAACAGGTGCTGCAGTTGCTGCTCTCACTTCATCTTCTGAGCTTGCGCACTCCCTCTGCCTCCCTCTCCCTCTCCCTCTCCCTCTCCTTCCTCTCACTATTGAGTTCATGGCAAGGTAACAAGAGCCTATGGAAGGGCCGGGGAGATAGCTTACTAGAAGAAGCGCTTGCCTGGCAACCACAGGGCCTGAGTTCAATTCCTGGTTCTGCCAAAAAAAAAAAGCTCCTATGGAGCTCGCTAGCTCAGCTCACGGGCCCTTATCTGTCCTGCCCATTCTAGGATGATTTACTGCTCACTTCTCTCTGCCCCCCAGCCTCCTCAGCAGCTGCTCTCCTGCTGCAGCCACAAGGAGGGGATTCTGAGTCCCTTCCCTGAGCCTGTGCTTCTTCTGGTTATCTGCTGCAAAATGCAAAAGTAAAAAGTCTACAAAAATAAGTTACTGCTTCATAGTAGAGAAAGTATAGAATGGAAATACAGACAGGAAGAGAAAAGTGGTGCAGGCAGCCTATAGGAAAAGGGATATTTCATGTGAAAATGTCTAAAGCTGCTAGAAAGGGATAAAGAAAGTGTTTATGATGGAATCAGAGGAAGTTTCAAGAAAGTGTTTGTAAAGGAACTGAAAAAAAAAAAAAAAAAGAAAAGAGGTTACAGTAATTTAACCTGGCCAGAAATAAATTTGAGTGCACTCTAGTTTTGTAAAGGTATTTGTTTGATTTGCATATTTGCTTATAGATTTTTATGTTATATGAGCTTTAAATATAGACTTTAAAGCATGTTTTCTCCTGAGTTATCAGCCGGTCTAAGTAATATCAAAATTTTTATATAGATAGATATAATATATCTATATCATTAAAATGGGGAGAGATTATTAGGCAGAACACTTGATTGGTGGATAAAGGAGTGGCCCACCTTTGTTCATCAATGTAGAACACCAATAATCTACATAAAGATACCCCAATAATGCCAACATGAACAAAAACTTGTGTGACATATATGATAACTAAAATGGACATTTCATATTGACTGTTATGTTACACTAACAGTGATGTCAAATGTTCTCTGTAAAAGTGTAACTGCTGCCTGTTAATACTCCACAGGGATTTAACTACTGAAATGTCCATGGTTGACAAGAAATAACAGTTCTCTGGTTACCCTTTATATTTAAGGTACATAAATCTGCTCCCACCTAACTGGATCTGGTATGCTATGATAGATTTGAAGATAAGATTCTTTTGCATTCCCTTGATAGCTGTGTCCCAGGAATTGTTTGCGTTTAACAGAAGGATCTGGGGGAGGGGGGAAGGCGGGGGAACACAAGTGCCAGTGATGTGGACATGACTTCCCAAGGATTCAAAAATCACTTTACTGTTCTTGGAAAAGTTTTATCAAAGAATGTGGTGCCTTTTGGTAATAACAATCCTAACTTTTCTTACAATATGTAGATGATTTGTTGTTAAGCTAGAGACCAAGAGTTGTGTAAAAAGGGGACAAAGAAGCTACTAGAGGTGTTACAAGATAAGGGGTACAGCATCTCTAAGAGAAAGGCTCAAATATGTGTTCAAACTGTGAAATTCCTT